TGGTTTATTTGCGACATCAATTCCTGAAGGTTTGAAGAGTCTTGCAGTGATTTATGAGACGTCTTTTATATATGGTAAGATGATTTTCTTCGTGTTTTCCTTGGAGGCCTTTGCTTTGGTTGGCTTGGGGTTAGATGTCTTTTGATGAAGTTTTGTGGATATCCATTCTTTTGGAAGACGTCCGTGAGATATTTTTCTTTTAAATTTCTCCACAGGTACATTGACATAGATAAAACCCACTAATCCAGAGAGAGCAGCAACCAATCACGTTCAAGGTCAACAAAAGAAATGACTAATAAACTTGTGGAGAAATTTAAAAGCTCACTTCATCGAATTGAAGTATGCACTGAAGATGTTGCCTAGTATAGGGCAATGAAAGCTTCGCAAATAAACCATCCAGCTCAGAGAACACAACTACACTAAAATCACCCCCCCCTTGAGCTACAAATCTTCTCCATTATATCTAATATGACTCGTCTTCTAACCTTCTTGGTTTATTTGTTTTTCTTCATAGGATGCCTACATGAAACAGATTAACTCAGAAAGTACCTCTGACAGTTCATCATTTTCATGTGAATATCAAAATTCAAATTTAACGCAAATTTGTAAGTTAATTCAACCATTTGAACGTCTACTTGGAATTCAAATACAAAAAACACATTCTGGATTATTACAATTATTGTTTCATGGTTGTTGTTCAAAATCTGCGACTACAAATACCGATATTGTTTGCTGTTGCCAGTTACGACTTGAGAAGGCCAATCGCTTTGAACTTGTCTCATGTAATCCACCTATACATGATGTGGAAAGGCTTGTTAACCATTTAAATTGGACAGAAGATATGCGAAGCTTTATCATTGTGTTAAGACAACGTTTTCGTCGTTACTTTGAACTAGCTGCTGCAGTTTCCAATAAACTGGGCACTGGTTAGCTAACATATATATATATACACCACAATTACTTTGTACCTACCAAGTTATAGATCTTTTATAATATTACATGTCTTTTGCATGCCTTGAATGTTAGTGTAAATTATTGGTAGTGCAAACGTACTATTCTTCAGGACTGATACTGTGCAGATATTATTATTATAGTTTCCTTTAGTTCCTAATAATAACAATAATTTACTTTATTCCAAAACAGTACTTGTGATATAGAATGGAATTCTCAGCATTTTTTTACTACAGTATTGCATCCAGTTAGTACATTATCAATAAATAAAATTCTACATAGATTAAGGAAATCTCAGTTCATTATGACAACAACATATTGGCATGTCGGTAGCAAAGCCAAAGTTGAACAGTGTTTGAAAAGTAGGTGCTGTCATATTTACTGGCGTAAGCTGAAGAAAGAAACAAAGCAGCACATAACGGAAAAAAAGAGAGAGAAAAGGAAAAGAAAGAAAGAAAATGTTGTACCTATAAATGATATGACTTGGAAAGATGAGATAAAGTTGTTCTACTGACTATTTAATAAGTTATAGGTGTCACGCCTAATGCTTTCTTTATCGCACAGAACACGAGCTAAGTAGGGTATGGTTGAGTTTTTGTACTTGCTGGTGCGAGCACATAGTTTTCTATATAGGCTTCTGGTTTTGCCTGATGAGATACAAGGGGAGAGTTGTGAATGAAGAGGGTGGTGTGAGTTAGATAAAATGGATTTGGCCCATTTTTCACATGAGTCCAGAATATTAACAAGCTGGTTAAGTGGCATGTTGCTTACCCTGCTGACAACCTTTAACATCCTGCGTAATAAGGTATAGTCTTTCTTCAGTAGCCTGGGAAAAACTAAGGGGGAACAATAGAGAATAATAGGCAGAATGCGAGAGTTAACGAATTGTAGGAGTAAGGGTTGGGTTATACCAGACATTCGTCTTAACTTCTTGATGTAGAAGGTAAAACGGAATATTTTCTTAGAAATCACCAAGATATGAGACGACCAGGAAAGATCAGCAGATAGAGTGACGCCTAGGTATTTAATTTCCGACTTGGTTTCTATTTCAATGCCATCTATGTTGCACACCTCGTGAGAGCTAACCAGTTTGTTTAGAGGAATATAGGGCTTTAGCCGTTTGTGCAGATATACGCCAATAAAATAAGAATAACAACCAATTTGTTGAGCTGAAATTCTTCCATACACAGAATCAATTTCACAACCAGGAAGGCCTTTAATTACTCGTGAAGGAAAAATAGGTGCTTTCATGTTCATTATTACTATTATAAAAACTTTGTATTTCCTAATGAATTGTAAACAGAAGGATGTTGTTTCAACTGACTTTTCGCTATTTGATATGTTAATAACTTTATCAAAGTAATAGTCATTGGGAAATACAAAATCCCCATAATAATTATTATTATTACAAACAGCATATACCCAATACCAATGCTTCTTTTCTTTTTCAAACCATTAAAGCTGAACTTGTTTTTGACATAGATAAGTTTATGGCTGTAAACAACAAGATTTCGGGTATATAATTGGGTCAACTTGCCATTTATTTAATAAAGCAAGTGATTAAGGTTGAAATATTATGAAATCAAAGTGGTAATTATTATTTAGAAGGATGGCTAATATAATAATTTTGTATTCTATGATGAAGTCAGGTTTATATCGTATTTACTACTACTAAGTGTTTCGAATTGCTAATCCCCCGGTATCTGTATCGCCAAGACCAAAGACACAAACTACTGAGTGTAGATGACTTCATGGTGTAATCAGTTCATGCACACTGAATTCTATCAGTCAGGTTTACGATGTGATCGACAAGCCAAATAGTAAGTGTGTTGATGAATAATCGAAGGCAGCCAGCTTGAAGACCAAGATTTTGGATTTATTGGCACTCATAAGCAAGATGTATATCCACAAGATGGGAAGAACTGACGATCCCTATGAAATTCGAACCGAAGACACTAAGTGTCGCAGTCATTGGACTACAAATCTTCAGCATCCCATAATTAATGTTCAACTTTTTTGACTAAACCGATAGTCATCCATCGTCAATGCTTGATGAACACTGTATCGTGACCTCTCACAGACTACTTCTCAGCTTTGAAGACTAACCTATCCACTTTACCTAGACTAAGTCTCCCTATGAATATTATGGTCAATATCTGACGTAACAACAGCTCCACAAAATCTACATTTCAAATGAAAACAAAATATAAGAAGTTAGAAATATGTTCACACTGTGTTGAAAAAGTCTAATTAAAACACTACATTTGTGAATTAAAATTTTGCATTAGTCAGAGTCAACGGCTGAATTCTCAATGTGGAGATTTGCACAAAACTGCGGCAGTTCAGTTCGCTACAATTCCTATAGTACACATATAGGTGGAGGAAGAAAGAAATGCAAAAAAAAAATATAATAAATGGAAATGTACCAGGAAAGGAATAACTATGTGGAAAAGAATGAGGATTTAACGAATTTTGGAGATTTCTATGGCAATTAGACTGATTTTCTGCAGTAAGGTCGCCAGCTTCAAGCATAACCTTCCCTCTTTTTCCGGGTTTAGGACTGGCAAGGTTAGTCAGCTTCTATAACCGTTAATATTGTGGTGGTCGTAAATCTACAAATTCATCTGCATATAATCAGGCTAAATTTGAAATAAAAAATTAAGTGGATTACCAGTTAGCAATTCTTATACTTAATTTTATATAGCAGATATTAGAAAACTACAAAGATTCCATTTATTGCCCCACTCCTTGACATTCTCAGTTAGGTAAAGTAATGTGTTCCTATTGCGAAGTTCTCATCCTTTTACGCGTAATTAAGTTACAGACTGTACAAAAATTTCAAAAAAGCTGCAGTGAGATATGACAAATGGGATCCCCCTTGTCCAGGTGAAGTGGACGTTCATCGAAAGCACGGGTCATTAAATTCCAGCCCAGGTGAATGAATAGTGAATGAGCTTGGTATTGCAACCTGAAGGTTTCCGAGCTCGATCCATAGCGGGGTCGTGGATGCGCACCGACGAGTAGTCCCATAATCGAACAAAACAACCATCCAGTGCTCCTTTTTTTATTCAATGATCTCTGCAACCAATGTTGACTCGAGACGAAACATAACAGCTGCAATTTCAACAAGCATATAACCATGCATGTGTCCGTGGTTCAACTGTAGAATGCTTGCCAGCCACGCTGGCACACTCTGAAACCTTGCTTAGAAAGGCCAGAAAAGCGGGAAGGTTGGGTGTGAGGCTAGCAACCGCCTTCCCGTAAAAAGACAACACTACCTACCTAGGAAGCATCGTTTCAACTACAGGCGGAACTGACGAGGATATCAAAGCAAGAATCGGAAAAGCAAGACAAGCTTTCACTACTCTCAAGTCTGTGTGGAGGTCAACAGCACTCAGCATCAAAAATAAGATCCGGATTTTCAACTCTAATGTGAAGTCAGTCAGTGCTGCTATACGGATCAGAGACTTGCACTGCGCGTCATAAGGAGCATCTCAAACAAACTACAGACCTTCATTAACAACCAGTTGTCTTCGCTCAATACTCAAGATCAGATGGCCGGCCAGAAAAGATCAGCAACAGAGATCTCTGGGAGCGAACCAACCAAGCAAGAACCGATTGTGAAACAAATAGGCAGGAAGAAATGGAGGAGGATTGGTTGGCCATACTCTGAGGAAACCATCAAGTGACATCACTAGACAAGCCATTGCTCGAGTGGAACCCGAAAGGGAAGCGGCGAGTTGGTCGTCAGTGCAAGGGTGACTTGGAGGAGGTCATGTGAAGAGGAGATGAAAGCGTGTGGACAGACTTGGAGCCAGGTGAAGACTCTAGCAGAGAACCGAACGCAATGGAGACGCACGGCTGAAGCCCTATGTTTCTCTAGGAATTAAAGGAAACAATAATAATAATGACTCGTAGCCCATTGTTCTACTCAAAACGCTAAGAATAGAAAAAAACATACAATAAACAGGCATTATTTACTACACTCCTTGTTTTTAAATAACCTCTCAGAGAGTTTTTACACTATTAAGTTATTAAACTTTTACTTATATTTATGCGTATATAAAATCAGTATATATTAGAAAACACATTGTTTTGTTTCATCAAGAGGCGGTGATTTAAACAAGTTAGTATTTCACAGATGAAATAATAAAAATTATAGTAAGGAGAGAAAACTGGAGTATAATTAAATAATCAATAATTAAATATTGCCCCCACACACTATAATATCACTGTTTTGTGACTGAATTTTCCTTAAAAACACACATATAACTATTATAAACTGTAAACGAAAAAGAAAACTTGTAAAGTAAAAATGAATTATGCAAAGCTTTGTTCCTTTTTCAGAAGAAATTTTTATGCGCAGCAAAAAAAGAAAGTAAAACAAATAAACACCAGTAGAAAAAAGCAAAATGAAAAATAAAAGAAAAACCCATAGTGATGATAAAAATCATAATTTTTACAGCCAGATATTTATTATTATTTGCGTTGTTGTTTGTTGCATAGGACAGCAGGATAGCAGCAGAGTAGAAAAGTAGTCACTGAAAGCTAAATATTAATGTACATAAATAACTTTTGTTTTCCCGTATATGTGTGTGGAATGTTACGAAATAAAAAATAGTAATAATAATAGCAATGTGAAGAAGAAACAGCAAAAATCTAAAATAATCATCAGCATTAAAATAAGTAGATCACAGAGATGAAGTTAAAATGTGAGATCATTGACTTGCACGTCATCGATGTATTCATTATTAGATGTGTCTGTGCATCATCACCCGCCGCCTCATGTGAATTGTTTAAAACAAAGTCCTGTAATATAAAAACAAATTGATAGAAATTTCTTAATAAATTCAGTGTAGATTTCAGAATTGAAAATCGTGTATATATTTGGGAATAGTATAAATAGAAAGTGTAACTATGTCGTTTTATAAGGATGGCACTTTTGTAGTCTACGATAAATGTATATGTAATGAATGGATTTCGAATCACTACGATGGTGAACAGAATGGACTCTTCATAATTTCTCGATGTTTCACTAATGAGGAAATAAGATGAATCCTTCATCAAAAGAACTATAATTCCAGAAAAAAAAACAGTTCCCTATACACATTTTCTTTAACCTTGTACAAATGAATTATACGTGCAGTTTGATCATATGCTTAGGTTAATTAGCCCCGAAGATAATGCACAGAAAGAACTTCACGTCATCAGAGTTATTCGAAGCGGAAACAGATATCCAGAGGAGTTTATACAAGCAAAGACAACTTACAACAGTTGCAAATATGAATTTTTAACGGTAGAGAAAAAGGCTTTGCGTTCACAATTCAAAAGCAATACCCTCCTACGGAGATATTATCCCAACGTCTAACCAGAGAGGGAAAAAGTGGACACTTTACTCTCGATGCCTGATCTTATCATGTAGTAACCGTCCAATGTTCACCTCGATACTGATAGAAAATTCACCTAGTCATAGCACTTCTTCAGGTAAATTCTGTTTTAAATGCTCTTATTACATAGGGGCAAAATGAGGCAGGCTTCTCTACTGATCCGAAAACATTTACCATCCTGGTTAAAAAACGGTGAAATTAAATTCATCGTAGACATATTACACAACATCGAATTGATCAAGTCATTAATATCCATTCAAAAAGAATACGTTCAAATGTCGCTGTTTCCTTCATGACCAGCCTTGGACTAAATATTATCCTCCCCCTTTCATAGACTTTGAACGCCTTTTTCTTTTCTTTGTCTAAACACTTTTGTTTACAATGGTTTGTAATTTATATTATTCATTCTGGCTTTCTTCAAACACCACCGAATTTTCTATACATATTAACAATAACTAGTTTATCATTGATGATATGATCTTATTCCTCACTACTAAAAATAACTCAAGATGATTCATATAATTTCACATATTGAATATTTCATGAAGAAAGATCCATCAAAATCTGACTATCTTTTGTTTGATACATACTGTCTTTAATACACTGAACGCCCAACAAACATGTACTGACACTTATCAAGTTGCCTTTTCCTCAATCTTTGAATAACTATGGCTATTCATTACCTTTACTTACTTACTTTACTTTACTTCGGCTATCTCCTAAGGGAGGATGAGCCGGCTTCATGAACATCTCGAATCATCTCTGCCCAAGGCGCGGCGATCTGATGAAAAGACTTCATGAAGTTTCATGGGAATTTGGTACGAATGATGTCCCCAGAATCGCTCGGCCTTTTGTTTGAGTGCAGCTCTAGCCTTTACACAACCAAGTATGACCTACAAGGCAGTAGGAGTGGAGTAGGGAGTCCACTATCCATTGGCAGCCGGTGACCGGAGTTCGGTTTATACGCCTTTTTGAATGGGGCCAGACATCCAACAAGCCCTTTGTCCATACGTCTGCCGGTGAGCCCCAGTGAGCTTCATACGCCAGTCGTTGGAGGCTTGGAATCAGGGTTCAGCCATCTCCCCTAGGCTGTTATCCAATGGACAGTCAACCCGGTGAAGAGAGCCGGGCATCTGCTTTCGCCCTCTCACTTTGGTGAAAAACACCTCCGCCACGTGAAGGCAGTGAGTAGGACTTCCTCAGGAGAGGCTATGTAAGACGCCCGGTCATATGGGAGCATTTCAAGAGGTGTGTGGAGGGGTGGCCAACCCGCAGCACAAGGCACCCACCCCCGACCATCCTGAGGCTTTGGAGGCATTCATTACCTTTACCCGATTCATATTATTTTTTAAATGCACTCTGATGATCACATTCTTCGTACATATACTACTATTTATCTTAAATCAAATTTGCAATTAACACAGTTCGAGGTGAAATTTCGCTGAAGATTGGTAGCAAGCGCTAGTGATTGATGTTGGTGGCATACAACTACTCATCTCGGCCGACAAGTAGTATATAGTTATATTCATTTATGTTTGCTTTCTTGATTGCCATTTATGATATCGAGCAGACCATATATTGTTTTGATTTCCAGAGAAAACTGTAGTTCGATTTCATCTTGAACTGTGTAGCTGGAGAATTGCGAGGTCGACTTGTGGTGAGAGCTGGCTGCTAGCCAAAGTTGGTAGACAGTAATTGATGTCAATGTTTATGTCCCCAATATTGGTGGTGAGAAAATGAGAACAAAGGCTTTGTGTAGGCCGATACAGTTAGCATATGGATGATCTGACACAACCACAAAGAGATGCAAGGTTAACTTTCTGTGAGAAACAACTAATCGAAAGACTGTATTTTCTACTAACAATAATGTACATTAAAATCTATAAATATGTGTTGATTTTCCTTAATAAACGATCTGTTGCCTGACCCTTGTCTTTTGTTGTTACAGACTTAGTGTGTGTTGCCAGTTCGTCCAAATAGCTAGCGAGAACTTGGGTAGGTTTAAACGAATTCAGCTCTCTCGGCTGAGTTATATACAGGATACACCACTCACCTGCAAATGAGCGATGAGATCACCTTGAACTGGCTGGTAGGCACTACTACTTTGGTGTGAGTGGGATAGGCAACCACTCATCCTTATTAATCAGTAGTATAATGTCAAACTATTTACCTTAGCACACTAAAACTTGAAATTTTTCTGGTTTTAAATCCATAATTGTATTATACGTTGAAAAAAGGCATCCACTGCACACCCAGCTATTATTACTATATTGTGAAAGGAATATTCTTCTTTTCAGACAGAGCCACTTTGAATATTTTATACTCTTAAAATTGATACATAATATTTAAATGTAGGCAGTATTTTTGTTGTTTGAATGAACACTTATTATCAATCATTAAAATCATTAAAACTTCATCAATACACAAAAAAAATAATTTGCGACAGCTATTTCTCAGCATGTCAACTCTACTACTACTACTAGTGCTAGTGAGAATTATTATGAATAGAGTAGAAATTAAAAGCCTTGATAATAATAATAATATACCAACTTACATGTAAAACTGAAGGGGTTATAGTTAGTAGAATCAGCGATACTAAAAAAAAACAAATCAAGAAATGCAAAATGTATGTGTCGATACTGGGAATATTAATTTTATTTCACTGTCGAGAGAACGAATTGGAGCACCATTTTGTACGTGATAGTCAATAAGATGTTGGATACTGTCGAAGACACGTTCTTTTGTACGTACCTGAAGTTAGTAAATAAACACTTTATATGGTTTGTGGATATTTTTAAGGATAAAATGTTACATAATTCAATATAAATGCAAAGAAGAGATTAAGATACTTGGAGATTGGCTGTGGGCACTGACGCATGAAATCCACCCCAGTTCACCAGTATACATTTGATGCTCTTATACTCCTATGTGCGTCGGCGGCCGACGCACTCCCAAACCTCGCTAAGCCAGTAATAAGACTGGTGAAGAGGGAAGGTTGGGCATGAGACTAGCAAACCCACGCCGTAAAAATAAACACCACTGCTACCAAAACTTCAAGCCCTTAGCTTGAAGCCCTGTGTTCCACTGGGAACGTAAGGGGAAAAAAACCTAAGTAATGTGTGACTGCTGGTAGCTGAAAATATTGTCTTACACCAAGACACTTGAATAAATACAAATTTAATTTATGGAATGCGAAGTAATTCTGTCGAGTAATACAGATGATTCTCTTGGAATTGCTAGAACAGAAGGACATATATTATGACTTTTGTTTGTGTGACATGTAAACTGGGCATTAGACCCTACCGACGATTAAGGGTCAGATGAGTCGATTTCTATTGTTACATGGATCAGATTAGACTTTAAACACTGAAGAAGTGAAACCGTATACCAATGAAATCAGGCAAATAACACTATAATCATGAATAAAATATGCCTAATGAAGTGTTATGAAATTAAACGGCATATCTCGAAAGTTTTAGGTTAAGTTTGAGAAAGACTAAGTTGAAGTTTAAGCCAAGGACAGGTCAGAGTTAGGTTAACCTAACATCCATACAAGTATGGAATGTAGTTCAATTACTCCGTTGGCATTCCAATGCAAAACTGAGAGGCATTTTTATCACACTTTAGAGAAAGTTATTCGGTGTAACAATTTCATGTGTATTTTATGTGTAAGAATAGTACTTTTCATGTGATCTGTGTTTTTAAGGTCACGTATGCGTAGCTACATCTCAGTGGCTGAAGTTTAACCTCACCAGTACGCGCCAACCAATCAAAACGTGGCTTGTGCAATTTATACCGGTATTTTATTTGGTTAGGCGAAATAGCTCTAATTTCTGATCAGATTGCCTTTCCCATGGAGAAATAAATTCTGCTATCTCAGTCTTCTGTATCTTCTCAGTAAGGGAATAGTAGTTAGAATGGCCAATAGTATGTATATGTTGTTGTCAAGCTTTGAAGTCCTAGTATCAATCTTATTATTACTATTATTGCTTAAATTCCTCAAAATATACAAGTGAACTTGATCATGTTAAAGTTGATGATTATTTTTAAAAAGTGTGATTGCCAATTGTGTTAAGCGACAGACAAGATATAACGTATCTAAGTAACTTTAAATACACACCTAGTTGTGCTTTGTTGTCTGTTTATTTATTTATTTAGGTGGACAATGAATCGATAAGCAATGTTTTTAGTGTAAACGACACAACATAAACAATACACACAGGTTATTGTGTAGAAATAACATCGTTTGACATAGGTTGTCTTTTTAAAAAAAAATAATAATATGAATTAGTGTATGAAATCTACTTCGATATTTTAAAAATTGAAATGTTTTAACTATGCTGAAAATTTCTAAACAACACACTTAATTGAAACAAACTAAGAACTTATGCTTCTCGCTTGTTAACAATCAAACGGAAGCCATGAATACACGAAATCCAGTTGTATATTGCAGTTAAAATAGATAAAAATGTATTATGCAGTTCGAACAGAAGCAATTGAATAAAGAAAAGGTGCATTAGAAGGTCAGGAGATAAAGTTAATTACACACGTTTGGTGACGAGTTGACATCCGTTAGAGAAACACTGGGAAACCAGGAAGTACAGGACGGCTATTTCGTTCTAGTTTGAGACTCTCCGGCAGTAGGTGCTAACCGAAGTTCGAACCCAAGGGGAGCTCGTGAACCATTCAGCCACTGAGACTCGATAAAATGCCCCAAGAATCTCAACTTCTGCCAGTTGGCGATATATACAGCGCAACAGCCAATCTGAAGCTCACTAGTGACTGGCTCTGTACGGAAAGTTATCTGGAGTTCTATTGGGAAGTTGTAACCAGCAGGTCTACCAAGTTAGGCAAGAGAACAGTTACTCGACCATGAGATTGGCTTGCGATTGCGCTATATAAATCGCAAATCTGTAGAAGTTGGAATTTGTGGGCCATTGGATCGGGCCCCAGTGGCTGAATGGTCAACGAGCTCACCTTGTAAACGGAAAGTCCTGAGTTCCAATCCCGGTGGGTGCCTACTGATGAGAAGTTCCAAACTAGAACGAAACAGATGTCCAGTGTGCCCTGTAGGTTTTCCAACGTTTCTCTAACCGACGTCAACTCGTGATCGAACCTGTAGCCACTTAAATCCCTGCAGACTAATACTTGATAATAAAGCTAATTAATCTTGAATTAATGTTGCACATGTCTGTACCTAATTCATATAGAGAATCGTTTCTGCGGAGTCAATTCTAACAAAACTAAATGTACCAATTTCGAAGTTGATTTATGAAATCCATGTTTAGCAACAGTTTATTCGGTACATCATCTATGGAAGATATATTCAAGAATATTTGAAATTGCAAAGCCCTTATGAGGTTTAATCTTACTCTTAAAGTATGATGGAGATATGTGAACAACCTCATTTACTAGATATCTGGGACAGGCGTTGAATTATTCCTATTACACGTATTTGCAGTTGATTCGATAAACAAAGCTTCTGTTATCAATCTCTCCCTCCACCCTGCTGTTACATTAGATTTTAAAACTGTCATCTTATCCCATCCATCCTATTGTATGGTTGTGTGTAACTGCATGTAGTGAGTGCTATAGCTGAACTATTCTCTAGATTTCTTATCTTATTCGGGTCAACTAATCTAGATTTTGCTGCTAGGTTTTTATGTTCGGCTAGTCTGACTGCCCCTGTTCTACTAGTTTGACCTATGTATTTGACCTGACAATCATTGTTTTGTTTTAAAGGCTCCACAGGATCCTTTAACCAACAAAGCTTGTTTCTAATTGAGTTTGTGGGTTTGAATGCCAACCACTTTTATTCCTGCTTTGGTAAGAATTCTGCGTAAGGTTTCTAAGGTTCCTTCCTTGTATGGAATTACTACTGACGGTTTAGATTCTTTAGTGTTGGTGTTGTCTTGCGCACATTTGACATGCATTTTGTCATTAATAATATTATTATTATCACTATCACTACTATCATTGTTTATTTTATTTTTACATTTCCCTACATACTTTCTGATTAATTTATCAGGGTAATTATTAAGTTTCAAAGCTTCGCTTATATGCCTCACTTCCTGTTTTAAATTTTCCTTGGTACTACTTAGTTTTTGTGCTCTATCTGTTAAATATTTCACCAATGCTATATTTACCGACATAGGATGAAATGATCGGAAGTCCAATTATCTGTTTGAATGTGTGGGTTTCCTGTAAACACTAGTGTTTAACTTCCCATCTTCTTTCCTTTTTACGCTGCAATTTAACAATGGAAGCTACCGTTCCTGACTTTCCAATTCATAAGTGAATTGAATTGCCTCCACTTTTAAGTTAATGTGTTCGAAAAATCTATCTATATCCTGTGTTCTAAGTACAGTGAATGTGTCGTCTACACACCTCCACCATACTTTTGGGGTGGAGGTGAACGTTTCAGTCGCTATGTTTTCCCACCTATACATGAATATATCTGCCACAACCGGGGATATTGTTGACCCCATGGCAACCACCTCAGTTTGTTTGTATATTTTCCCTTGGAATTTAAATACTGTGGAAGTCAGGCATAGCTGCACTCCCGGCATTATGTCCTCAAGTGACACTTTTAGAGAAGAAGACCTAATTTACTGTAGTGAAACCTGTGCATACCCCTAATTTTTGTACACATAAACTTAGTAATAGACGGAATCCAGTTCACTTCCGGTTTACAAAGTAAACAGAGTAAGCTCGCTTTGCTAGATTACGAAGCAAAACAGAAACAAGGAAAGGGTATCAGATAATAGCATCTACTGAAAACTATCACATTCTGATAGGTATTTAGACTTTGAATTACTCACCACACAAAATCAGTAATGGAGGGTTTAGCCAACAAATGTGAATGCAATCGAGGCAGGAAACTTAAACAAAAAAACTAAAATAAGGAAAGCATTATTACTAAGAAGGCAAGATTCACTTAGAAATTTATTAGGATTCATAAGAAAAACAACAGTGCAGTTATGTGAATAATGACTGTAATATGAATAATTAGCAATTTAAAATCTCAATAGTTACTACCATTTGATGAAGGAACATTTGAAACTATATGTAGGATTCTTAATATGGTTGGAATTAAGGCGGCATTTAAACCTATCAACTAACTAATTAATAGACTTTGTTGGTTTAGAAGGCAAAGCGACTAAGTTTAACAAAACAATATAATCGATCCGATGGCAATTAACGACTTGGGAAGTGGAATACGCAGTAGGATAGGGTCACTTAGGATGTTAAAACAGTGAAACGGTAGAAGACGAAGGCTTGGTCAAGGAATGCTTATTTGGAAGTCGGTATCTTTATGTAGCCAAATTATATATACCTTATCTTCAACGCACAATTTGCACAGATCTTCGTGTAGTGGTACTTGTGGAATTCATGTTGTGTTTCTTTGTGTTCATTTCAAGCCTCCCGTGTATCTCTAAAACGCTGTATTATTTGCCTTCTCTGTAATCAAATGTAATTCCCTGCTATTTGATGTTTTTATGTTGATGGACGTCTCTTTGTATACTACTGATATATCTTATCAGTAGCACTCGTCACAATAGGAATTTGGCTAAATTGACAATGACAGATCTCACTACGACTCTTGAAATGTACGCACTTATATGCAGTCACATCATAGGGTAGTATTATAGCCAACAGGAGAGATTAATCACGAAATATTTGTTCATCGAATCAATATATGTAATACAGATGACACTACCAAGGTTTCCGATACATGGAAGGTTGCATTTAATGAACAGGAGAGAGTACAAATATAATATCAAACAAACTACCAGGTCTTGTAGGTACAGTGACATGAATATGAGCAGAAAACTGCTGTTTATCAGTGTATGTTAATTGAAAGAAAACTATGTAATATGGGTTTGAACCCGATATGAGATTTGCGTTATTTCATATGACTGCATTACACATTGAAGGGTATTTAAACTGTCACTAGAATTACCAGTAGGCGAATAATATACATAATTAAGAACAGGTTGACGAATGTTTAAAATGCAGAATGCCGATTATTTGCGCACACAACTGCAACTAACTTAGAAGAAGAAATAAGAAAATATTTTTTTTGTGCACAATCACTAGTTGTAAAACCAGGGCAACCATTCAAAATAAAGTTATAACGAACACAGAATTTATTGGCTTCAGGGCTACTCGGAAGCATCTATCCATTTCCAACCCATTAGACAAATGCATATCAGCTTTAGAATAACAACCAGGCCAAGAATTATTGTCTTCCTTTTGCAAAGATTATTCTCTTAAACCTAATAATCAATAAAATGGCATGAACGGCATTCATGGGAAGGCATAGATGCATTCTAAAGAAGTAACTATTCATTTTTCAGTGACAGTGATATCAACTTTTAATGAAAAATGCTCACAAACAGTTTAACTTCTCCAGTGAATAAGGAGAATGATTGTTTCCCTATTGTTGACCCCATAAACCACTTGGCATGAATAAAAATGGGTAGATTTTGGCTTTCTTCTCGAAATGCTCTCATGTGGCACGCGTTCATAGCCTTTGCCAAGTAAGTTCGATTCACTGCCTTCACACGGTGGGTATGTTCCTCATAAAAAAAGGCCGAATTCAAACGTCCTGTGCTTATAGCCGAACTGGTGGACATACTAGTTCACATAGGGGAGCCGGAAGACATGGACTCCAGAATCTGACAGGATCAACTTGTAACTGCCAATGGCAACTATGAAAACGTAGATCCTGCCGCTGCTCCATAACCATGTGGATCAGCTTTCAAGTCTAAGGCATGGGGGTTAGTCCTTAAGATAACTATGAGCTTCGATCGTGAGTTCAATACAGTATCCTAAGTCTTGCATAAGCACAGATTTTGCGTGGCGCATCTTTAGGTGTCCATAATGTATCAAGATTGTGTTTTATTAACAAAATTTTCTACAAAACAAGAATTGTTTAGAATATATGAGAATATAAAAACACTAGTAACTTTTTTCTATATAAAGAATTACCTGTCCATTTGGATCCGCTAGCAGTAAATGCCTGTATTTGCCGTCTTGAAGTCCACTAAGAACAAACTGGCCAGGCTGTTGAATGCTAGCTCGTACAAGAAAATCCCCATCATACCGTAGTAAATTCTCTGCTTGTGATCTGGACATTTTACCGACATACCATGGTTCTCCGATAGGTTCTAAGTGTTCAAAACTAGACAATCCAACTGATGTCTTTGTCGTATCAGATTTTTTATTGTCTATTTCGGTTATATTACATAGAGCTTTCGATGGCTGTTGGTCAACTTCATTAGTTTTTGATTCAACCGAGGTGGTAAAAGTGCTACAAGACGATTTATTGTAGTCTCCACTTTCTGTTTGATTACTGCATGACATTTCATTTCCCAGCAACCCTGAATTGAAGAAAATGAAGAAAAAGATATCCGTACTACTAACATGTAAACAGTCTAAAATTAAATGATTCGAATAAAAATGGAAGAGTTTATGTGCTAGTGTCACGTTTTTCTGAACACACATAACTTGGTGATGTGTATATACATGATTTAGTAGCAGACAAAATATACTACCACCTACTATAGTTAGAGACTTACGCAGAATTATTTCAGTCCCCATTGTCCCACAAGAATTCTGGAAGTTTAACAACAGTGGATGTGTCTGCCTTTCAAAGATTTATGCAATGACTGACAGAAGTTAGAATTCATGAGCCATTGGATCGGGTCCCAGTGGCTTAATGGTATGCGAGGTCGCCTTGTAACCAGAAGGTCCTGGGTTCGAACCCCGGTGGGTGCGTACTGATGAAGAGTCCCAAACTAGGACGAAACAGCTGTCCAGTACTCCCAGGTTTTTCAATGGTTCTCTAACTAATGTCAGCTCATGATGAAATCCTGTAAACAATTCAAGTAGCTTTGAAATAACAATGCTTGTGCTACATTTTTTGATTCATCATTTCATAAAGTCATATACTCTGTGCCACTTTTAGTGTTTACACCCACCGACCGGATTTTTTTCCTTGTACATTAATGTTCGAAGATCTACACATTGATCCACAGGTCATAATATAACAAAAACAATCAGTTAAGACAAAGTATCTGTAGAATTCAACTTGCTTGTAGATGTCTTAGTTCTTACAATCAATAGTGACAACTCAGAGTCTGGGCTTTACACTACAGATGAAAAGCAAGTAACTTCTTTCTTAACATTCACTGCGCTTAAGATACACAATTATTATACCTGTGTAACAGCGAAAAAAGGGCACAAAAGTTATCTTTTAAATAAAGACAAAAACATAGTCAACAGTACTAACGTGTAAAACGAATATTTACTGAGTCATATTTACAAGTATATGCAATGATGAAAATAAAAGATACATACAGTCAGACTAGTTGGTGGGTGTTTACGTCATGATAACCAAGGATCACATGATAGTCATAGTTAGTAGGACAAAGGTGATATTTGATGAGTGGGCGGTTGTCATGCCATTTGTCCCTTGCAACTAACATTACCATTGCCAAATTATGCAATGGAATTTAAACCACACTGTTATATAATCCTAAATACTATTGGAAGCGAACGGCAGGAAGCCTTTGAACTGGGTTTCGTGCTTGTTGGCATTCGTCAGTGCATCTGAAATCTTTAAGGAATTCATGTCCCTTCTGAGATTCGAACACAAGTCACCCAGAGTTGTTGACTGAGTGGTTTCACCATAAAGCTTTGCAAAGATGTGCAACAGTTCGAGTTGCCACACTCCATGTAGCAGACCAAGCAAAAGAAGAACTTTAGATACCATGTTGGTCAAGCTAATCGGCCTTTGATTATTACAGGAAGATTTGTCTCCCCTTCTTGCATCTCGGGATCATCAATCACTTAGACCAACCCGACGGGACTTCCTCTGATTCCCAGACGCTGCCTAGTAGCCTAGTTAACGCAGACAGTAAACTGTCTCCATCATACTTAAATACCTCCGAGTCATTCCATCAGATGCCACTGCTTTGCCTCGTTTCAAACTAGTGACAGCCTTAGTAACCTCAGTTAGGGACGGAGGACCTGTGTCAATGTCCCATTCAGGGAGGTTTTGGATGTTCGGCAGGTTGAGCGTGGCTGTAGGCCAATTAAACTGCTCCTCAAAGTGTTCTTTCCAGCGTTCTAGTCGTCTATCCTGGGAGCTAATTATGGTGCCATTTTTCTCAGAGATTGTTTCATTTACCATTTGCCTTTTGTCACCTGTTTCTTTAATAAGCCTAAATAATTGTCTGGTGTTACCGATCGCCGATGCCTTTCCATCTCTTTCGCTTTTGTCGTCCACCATTGTTCACGGTCGTTGTGAGGACCTCTTGTTAGTTTTCGTTTGAGTAGCTTTCGCTCCTCATCATAATCGGAGCTCGCCAGAATCAGTCTTCTTGCGTCAATCAGTTCGGATGATGTGGTAGAAATCCAATGGCTCTTACTAACTTTTGGTTTTAGCTTATTAACAGCATTTACAGCTGTGTCTACAACTTACTTTATGTTACGCCAGGCTACCTCAGGGGGAGTCCTGCTGTCAACCTCAGGTACTCCTTTCGCTATTTCTTCCTTAAATAGGGATTCAGAGTCTCGACCTAGTTGGGGACGTAATTGTTTCACCGCCAACATTTTTTATGCCCGTTTAGTCGTAAGCATAAACGTGCGCAAACCAGGGAGTAATCGGAGTCTACGCACGTGTTCCACAGAGAGTGGCAGTTTTCCTCTAATCCTCGCCAACGATAGCCTATCGCTATGTGGGCTATTTGAGTCCGACGTTGATTTGGTGACGGAGGTCGCCAGGTTAGGCAATGTCTCTCTTTGTGCCTGAAGTTAGTGCTGGCTAGGAACAGATGATTATCTGAACCGACCCAGCATTGCAGTCAGTGGCATTATTACCGAGCTATTCGGACTCGCAAATCACCTCCCGTAGAACTGTAATGGACTAGACACATGACACTAGTTACCATCTAGTGTCCAATCAGAGTAGAACAGTGAAGTATATAACTACTTGTATATCACATTTTCAAACAATATCCTGTTTCACATTATATTTGTTTGTCAACATTTACCACTCTAGAAATATATAAACTAAGCAAAACGATCTCACTGATTTTATGAAAAGCAGGAATATTCGACCGTAGCGCGTTGGTGTCTTATATATAAAGTTCATTTAATATACTGAAGTTAATGTTACACTCAAGTTTAAATTCATATTAAACCGTTTAGTCTGTCTTAGTTCCTTCCAATATGAACTAACGAGGTCCCATTCTAAGGATTTCAGAAAAAAAACCTACTCTCATGTCTTGTCTATGATCGATGAGTTCATATGACAATCAGAGGGGAATCTACTCCCGAAGATTTAATCACTTTAACTAATTTTCTAAGGCTTCATCTTCCAGGTTATAAAGTAGACATATTGTATGTTTACTAGTGGAACCAATCAGCTTAAATAAAGGCAAAACTATACAATTTGGTCATTTCATATTATTCCTGACAAACTTAAGTGAATACACATTTCATCAAGTAGAACCAGAAATCAGTATAAAATAATCTATGCTCGTACAACCAAGTACAGGAACTCAACGATACCATACTTGGCCCGTGTTCTAAGTGACAGAGACAATGTCAAGCGCGAAACCTATGACTTGCTTTGTTGTTAATAACATAATTTTAGGCTCTTTTATTTCTCTCTTATATTGTTTTCTGTAGTGAACTCCTTCTTAAACACACTTAGCTACCTAAATTATTAACATTGGCTTCCTTTTTTGTACTTTACTCTATTCCTTCGTTTGTGTATCTACTGGTTCCGACTATATTAGCACTATGAGTATTACAAAATTGTCCTGTCATTAACCATCATGTAATTATTAGTTTTTGTGGTTGTTGTTTTTTTTTGTTCGGCAATATTAACTGACAATCTTGGTTGTGAAAGCCATTATCACCATCTTAAAATTTTGTATTATGCAGGATTACTCACACTACCACCACAAACACCGCATTAGAGCTGAGAATAAAGAAACAACCCTGAAATGTTATTTTATGATTGTTTAGTGTTGTTTCAACCAAATTAACTGATCATCTTGGCGATAAACATTCTTAAATATCATTTCATAACTTCTTGTATGACTATAGCTTTACTGTCACCATGCATAATCATATCATAGCTTCCACTACCCAATACTGAGATATCATTTTTATGTTGTTTATTTTCCTTTCTACTTCTTGGTATTTTTTCGCATTTAAAAAAATTTTTTGTTGTTGTTGTCTTTATATTTATTTTTTGAAATACTCCTTTTAAATGTTTGATAAAATTAGATGCAAATATTGTAGATATGTGCTGAAAATTCCACACTGTACCACTAGTACTGTTTCTGGAATAAAGCAAATTATTATTATTATTAATTCTCTAGAACACTACAAATAAACTTATGTTTAAATCAGGGGAATGGTAAGTTACAATCTAAGTTCGGGACAATTGACTTGTAGACACTAAAGAGTCTACACATTTCCATAGATGACTTTGAGATGAATTCTTTGAAGTTATAGAAGTAATTCTATGATCAATTACTTATTGATTCCACTGAGCGATGGTCACGATATGTCATGATGACACAGAAGTCATACGTTTGAACTGTCAAGTTCCAAAACAAAATGGAATAATCATTTAATTCTCCTTGTATTATAATAGCCCGCAAACTGATATCGGCCGGTGACGAAAGCTACTTTATAACCACTCAACTATCTACAAAAACAACCATTAAGCCACCTAATGAAATTGCAGATGATCGGTTTTAACAGTGCAACACACTTCTGTTATACTGTTCTTTAGAAGTAAAAATGCATTAGTCATAATATTTATGGTACTGTGACTTATCAGTCCAAAAACCTCACTAGAGCTAACTTATTCAGGTCTGGAAAAATACCATTAGCCCTTACACAAGAAGTCTAGCTGTATTGCTATGTACACAAAAAGGTGCATGACTGCACAGTAAAATGACAATTTTTCAGCTTCTAACAATCATAATATAGTCTATGATAAAAGAAAAAAAGACGTTGAATGTTAAGAGCAAAATCAAACTTACATGCATTATCCTCGAAATCCATGAAGTTGTCAAAAGCAACTGACTGAGTAAGGTCATTATTATTATTATTACCATTGTTGTTGTGAGTCGGTGATCCAGTGTTTTTCGGTAACGAAGTAGTAGCCACCGCCTGTAAAGATGTTCGAAAAAAAGAAGAGTTAAAGCGGGGAAAAAGAAATTTAAGTATATTACCGAAAAGTATATCACCGAAAATAGCCATTGAGTCATGAAGAAAATAAAAGACAGATTCAGCGAAGAAAATTTTCTTTATCGACGAAATCATCTTCAGAGGCTGTACAGTCGTATTTATACTTACAAAAATATATAGTGGTCTATTATTGAGTAATAGGGGTGACATAATTGATATAATTACTCAGAAGTGGCTTTAGAAGTGAAAATTAAAAGTTGTAAATTACGTGGTACTCAACGGAACAAAGATAGAAATTTGATAAGGTTAAAATTGCTATTGAGTCAGAATAAAGGTAGAGTGTCAATTTAACAAGTGTGAAGAGGGTATGAAAATATACAAAAGGAGCATATGAGAGTGATAATAGTGAATTAATTATTAAAGCAAAAGCAAACTAAAAGTAAGATTAAAAATTACAAAAAAAAGAAATGGAAAAAAAATCAAAAGTTTTTTAAACAGGGAACGATTAGTGAGAAATTAAGACCAAGGTAGAATAAGAGACTGGACAAACTTTTTCTGTATACAGAGTTCAGGGTTGTATTGATGAATTGCCAGCTCCTGCGTCATACACAAAAGCCGAAACCTGACGCCCTTTGTACCATCTGGCTTCGCTTTGTAGATGATCTTGAAAGACGACTCCGGTTGAGCTACGTGGCCTGAGTTCACCAAGTGCTCGAGAATTGAGCTAGTAATTGTTGTGCATTGTCCTGTTGCTAACCATGCCTGATAATGTTCAGAGATGCATTTGGAAAGTGTGCGCTTTGTGCGGCCAATATAACTAGCTCCACACGAGCAGGTGAATTTATAAACACACATTGAGGTGGCCCAAAGCGGCAGTTTATCCTTCACACATCCGTTGATCATTTGTCGGCTGTAGAAATTGATACGTAGCCCAGCCATTAAGAAGACTTTCCTCAGTGATCCGCATAAGCGATTCTTTAGGATCTCGGCTGCGGTATCACCTTTAAATTCAACACTCATAAATAGCAGTTTCTTTGGAACCGTCTGGATTCTTTCAGGCTTTTCCCTTAACTTCACGTTTTTCTCGATAAATCTTGGAGGATATCCATTCTCTATGAGGACTTGTCTGAGTCGCCCCAGCTCCCCATCGATTGTATGACTTTATTCTGACTCAATAGCAATTTTAACCTTATCAAATTTCTATCTTTGTTCCGTTGAGTACCACGTAATTTACAACTTTTCATTTTCACTTCTAAAGCCACTTCTGAGTAACTATATCAATTATGTCACCCCCTACTACTCAATAATAGACGACTATATATTTTTTGGTAAGTATAAATACGTCAATTTGTTTACATAAAATGAACGAAGTAAAGCAAAATCACAAAATATTCAATCCAACTCTGAATGATTATCTCAGCAGCTGATAGCGAGTTCTTAAATCTTCGGTGATAACGGTGATTGAATTTACCCTACAGGGGTACAGAGATATTTCGACTAAAAAATTGTAAATATTTTAATCAGTTCATATTTATTTATTTATTTATTCTCATTTTACTTTTTCATATTGCTACTGATCGTTTTAAAATTATTTGATTTCCATATAATACTACCTATTTCTATGCGCTGCTATGGAATGTAGCTGCAAACTGAACAAAAGTACTTTTGTACAATGTTTCACGTAATTATTGTCTGTCTGTCTGTCTATCACTCGATTTTTAATTATTAAACTTTATCTAGATTCTATGTTCCACTTATATGTTAACTTACTAGCCCTCTTACTTTTGAATTTATAGCTAAAATGAAAAAAAAACCAAATGTTGATGAAAATAAATCAAGTTCTTTCCAAATTAAATATAAGTCGAGATCACTTAAAGAACCATTGAAAACCAAGGAATACTGGGCAGACATTTCGTCCTAGTTCGCTTCATCACTTCATCAGTACAAACACATGACATTTACGTTAAGACACCAGTCTGTTGAACACTCACTCAGTTAATAGTTAAGTCATGGATGCGAACTTCTGAAGAGTCCCCAAAAATTAGAACGAAACAAAAATGTCCAGTACTCCCCAGTTTCCAATGATTTTCTTCTAATTGATATCAATCTGCGGTCAGACTTGAAACCAATCAAATCCCCCCCCCAAAAAAAACAACAATACCTGAAAATCAATCGAATACTCGCACTAGTTACTAACTACGGAATGAAGCTGTATGCAGTTCTAGTAAGAAGTAGTGACCAGTCGTGTAGGAGAAATACCCATCGGTGATATCGGCTGGCAGTGGCGCTATGAATCGCAAATCGACAGAAGTTAGAATTCACAGACTATCGGAGTACATATCAGTCTCTCTTTGTAATCTGAAGGGGGGCCTGAGGACTTTGATATCTGGTGCGAGCATAGGTGAGCTATGCTGAAGAGACCCGAAATAGGATAAATCAGTGTCCAAGTGATGTCAATTCGTAACCTAACTTGAAACCAATCAACTCTCTCTGCAAAACCAACACCTGAAAATTAAGTTTCGCTGGTGGGCCTTGAAAAAGTTAATCCACAAACGAAATATCCAACCGCTACACAAAGAATATCACAGATTTAGAAATGAAAAAAAAATGTAAAGTCACAAATACTTCCAATGATGGACTAAACAAATAGGTACAGTACATCAATTATCAGTACTACTATTAAAAAAAAAAAAAACTGAAAGAATAAACTAACACTTGAATTTCCCTGATGTGTAGTTTTCGAGAAAATCGATTTATTCGGACTGTTTACCGGAGAAAAATGGTGATGATCACTGGAATTTTCAGATGTTGTCACTACTTTTGACTGAACATTTTGGTGATGATGATGATGATGATGATTAGGAAATAATGATTCGGAAGAGGTTATTTTTGTTGATGAAAATGTCTCATTTCTAGTATTCTGTGGTTTGGAATTCTTGAAATCCTAGTTTTAAGAAAATAAGTAAAAAAAAAAAAATCAATAGCAGTAGCAGGGTATTAAATATTCATTTAGTATTATAATTATTAAAGAGAATCGGAGTACAGTGAGGTGTATTGACTGAAACTTGCAATGAACTTCAAAAGCCTTCCTTGTCTAGTCACTGAAATTTCAAAAATGCAAAACCGAAATCACTAACTTTTTATTTCAGTATCAACGAAAAAATAGCATCTAATGCATGCACATTGCACGAGAAATTTCACCAAAATCTGAAGATAAAAAGTACTGACAATAGTACTTGACGTAGCTATTGGATAGTGTACATCACTTAATTATGCTTTCATACTACAACAGTTATGAGTCTGTGGTTCAGTGGTAGAACACTGACCAACGACGCACGTGGTCCGGGGTTCGATTCGCAACTGATACACTCTTAAACCTTGCTTACCCGGTAAAGATAGAAGGTTGGGCATGAGGCTAGCAACACCACACCGTGGAAAGAAACACCACTGCTACTGAAACTTTAAAGCTCAAGCTTGAAGGCCACTATTCCACTCGAAACGCAAAGGGATAAAATAAAAAGTAATAAGCTACAGCTGTTTTAAGCATCACTAGGAGAGAAGGCTAGTTTCACATATGCCAGTTTACACCGTCTCTGGCTTAGTAGACGTGATATTCGGCTGGCTGTCGACCAAAGGGCGTGTGTACTGCTCAACAGTCCGCTCCGTCCTCCTTTATGGCTAGCTGTGAGACCTGGCCATTGAGAGTGGAGGACATGAAAAGGCTAGCTGTCTTTGATCATAGGTCTGTCTGCGTTCTATCTCTCGTGTGAAGTGGTATAATAGAGTGAACAATATTGATGTTAGGCTTCGGTCGAGTGCTGGGTAAGGAGGGTAAGTCAGTCAAAGAGGTTGTGAAACAGCTGCATCGACTGAGATGGTTAGGACATGTGTTACGCATGCATCCCTAGCCATCGATCGTCTTCCTCGACGGACAATATTAGCTGACATAGGACTGATCAACTTGGAAAAGAGCCAGCGGTGGTTAAACGAAAACATGGCTTCATCAACATCAACATCAATCCACAACAGTTAGTTTAAGCCACGTAGAAAGGTGTAGACTGGCCTCCTGGTTGGATTCCTCGGAACGGTAAAAAACCAATGGCTGGAGACAATTGGTGATATGGCTCAAAATCGTTCTCAATGGTGCAGATGCATCCACTCTTAGTGATTTATAATACCCAATAAAACTATATTGCTCTTCGATATAACTATTCTTTTGCCTCATGTCTCTGTTTACTGTCTCTATTTTGCATTTCCTTTTACTCTCTTCTCCTGCTTTGTGTGCTACATGGAGTGTGGCAACTCGAACTGCTGCAATTTTTTGCAAAGTTCTATGCTGAAACTAGTCAGTCAGTCAGGACTTTCTTAAGCAGCCAATCTACAGGGTAATCAAATCTAATTAATCACTTGCCTTTCTAGACTGTCAGGGTTCTACAAGGATTATCTTTCTTAAATACAACACAAACTATCTAAGAACTAATCTGTTATTGGACTCCGTTTTACAATTATCATAAGTAAGCTCTGTAAGTATAAATAATTTTCAACTGTATTTTAGTAGCTTTGGATCGTTTCATGTAAAAAAAAGTCCATTAAGAGATAGCATTGTTACAAATACCTAAAACATATTAGGATAGTCAAGAAAGCTCAGAAAACACTGAACAACTAATACTTTCATATGCTATACCATCGAAGTATCGATGGTTTAATCTTTGTTGTATGTAAGCAAGCACACCAGCATCATTAAAGTAACGCCTACCACTAATACACAGCGATCTATCTATCTATATGCATATCACGTGCAAATTCAGAAAAGGGGAATAAGGTGATGAAGAAACACAATTGAAAATCATGTAGTATCATAGAACAAAAGATGGAAAAAAACACAAATAAACAAATACGATAGTATGAAATACATCGAAACGAATGCAATCTGTGCCAATGTGATTGACTTTTGATCTCATTATACGGCAAACTGTTCTTCTAGATTACACTGTGGGAATCTTCAACACTCTGATTGAAGAATGATTGCAAACTGAACTTGAATATATTTCAATTTACTGGTGTTTAAAGTACTTCAGCATGTAACCACCCATAACTCCAAGTAAATGTGACACTGATTGATGAAGGCATTAAGGTTATGACGCACAAGATTGCCTGACGCTTTCGAATGTTTGTCTTTTTCTAAAAATTCTTTTACTGTACATATGTTTATATATCTGGCAAAAATGTTTTCCAGTCTTAACAGATACTGTTCATCAACCAAATTTAGCGATTCTGATTGGACACTAGTATCTAGTGTGACGTGTCTAGTCCTTTCTTTGGTGCAGACTGAATTCTATCAGTCAGGTTTGCAATGTGGCCACCATTCTAGGTAGCTCGCCATTCACGGTGAACATTGATTTGATGATATTAAGTAGTTGGAGGCAATACGCCTTGCTGACGAGTGCCAACTAGCACGAAACCTAGGTCCAAGGCTTCCTGCCGATTGCCTTCAACTACCTAATATCATCTGATTTAGCGACTTTTACGGTCATTAGGAGTCATAATTAGATAATGGATAACATGCATCATTATAGCATCTTAAATATGATGTTAAACTTAAAGTGATATTATTTGAAGGGAGGTTAAAATCTAACATAAACAATGAGTGGTTACTTTGGCTTATATTTGAACTCATAAGAATACACTACCCACATTTGGCATAAAGATAATGCTTGAACAACACATCGTTATGATTTCAATAACCAGGTAATATCTCATTTCATGTGATTGGAGAAAGTTTTTACATAACACACTAAAACAATGAAGCAGACTAGATGATAAAGATGAAAGAAAGCAGAAATTCATGTATATACAATTATATGTATGCTTTTTTTTACCTGATATCCTAATTGGAATGCTTGTCCAATTGTGATGATCACATCTTGAGCAAGGCCACCCGGACACTCAAAAACATAACACATACGAGTATTTTGGTCTGTTTTAGCCACATAACAAATGAAATCTAAAGTTTCTGCATCACCAGCAGAAGCGAAAGACACCAGGAAAAGATTGTGCTGGAACAACAACTAATCGTATAAAAGATAAGTTAACAATCATTTAAATAAGTGGAGAATAAAATTTTGAATAACAAACTGCAAAATTTGTACAAATTAAGTATTAAACATTTGAAAAACACCTAGCACAAAAAGAAATAATGTAGTGTAACGAAATAGCTTTATTTACAATGTAAGCGGAAAAGAAATCGCTTCTTTCTTTAGCATTCACTACACCTTACCATCTACAGTTTTCATTATAAATTAATCCCAGCGTGTAAGCCACAGCGAAACGTTCAGAAAAATCTTCTTTTGATTTTCTTAACACGCTGGGATTAATTTAAATAATTTATAATGAATAAATCTGACTCGGCGCTCAAATTATTCCAGGAAGTTCGTAACACCTACGGCCTGGAAACCTATAATCTAGTTTTACTTGAACTTTTATCTAAGATTACTTCTAACAAAAAAGTTTGTAGAAATTAACAGTGTCCATGATAGTTGTGTGGAAATGACTCATTAGTCTAAGCACTCAGCTTTCAGCAAATGTGTGTCGCGTCTGAGTTTTAACTTCACCTGTTTCTGCCTAGGCAACCAGGAAATATCATCAATCCTAAATACAACAAGTGTAGCTGTTAGCCTGGTGCATGAAAAACCTGTTTCGGTTAACTAACATCTGTTATTGTTACTTCTAGCGTTTATCAAAAAATTACAAACAAAATGCTTTATAAATTAAATCTGATGAATTGTCTTATCGATCTGTGCGATGGGAACAAGTGGCATAAACATGGAAGAAGTTGCCGATAAATGTATGCAATACAACCTACTAACCTGAGTAATATGTAAAATAAATTACAGTTGTACTATGATATCAAATGAATACCAAAGATACGAATAAAAAGCTCTCTTTATGGCGATATTATTTTCATAGCTATGCGATCATATTTACTTATAGATTAGAATAGACAACAATTAGTATGTTCATTGTGTATGCAAATTGAAATCTGACAGTGAATGGAAATCCTGAATTTTGTATGCATTTAATCTTGAGACAAAAAATTAGCCGTATCATCAAATACTTAGTTCAAAAAACTGTATTTTATTCATTCATAATTATAATCAATTTGTGATCCGTAATCATCTAAACCAATATTATCGCACTTAAATATCTCCATGCCTCTCCTCCCCCCGTGCATAACGCGACACGACAGAGGGTAAATGGACTTCGGTCTTTCCCTCTCAAAGGTTTCAGTCTATACCAGGTATGTCCTATTCACTTACTGCCTTCGTACGGCAAAAGTGAAAGGGCGAATGAAAATGCTTGGTGCTTATCAACGGATAGGTGGACATGGGTAGTCCCATGGTGTACATGGGCTTAAGAATCCGAAAAGAAAGAATGGCGCATGAACATACTTCTACCATCGACAACTATGGGGACACAGCTCCCGATGTTGCTCTGCTGTATTGTTGAACAGACTTCAAGTCAAGGACTGTGCAAGCGATCACATGATTCAGTCTGGGTACCTAGACAGTATTTTAGTCCCCACGCAAGTCATGAAGACTCCATTTTCACTCATATGTGCATAGGATTGCATATCTACGAAAATAAAATCGACACAAAGTAAATTTCCTTCCCCAAAATCTCTGTTTTGTTTGACTGGGGATTACTGATTTAAATTTTTTTAAAGTCAAGCGTTATTTTTAAGAGAAATCAATTATATGTAGAGGTGAATTAACACTAAGGTAGCGTACAACGCTACAGTGCGGTAAGTTGTACACTACATCCATGAAATTTGGCATCTCTTAGAGGAGGGTAGATGAAAAATTGTCTGAACAATTCGATGTTTGCAAAACTTTCAAAGTCACTTCCACGTAACTTATAAGTGGTGGTGAGGTCCTGTGGTATTTTTATTAACTTTATGAATATCTTCATTAGATAAGCGCCATCATTTTTAGATAGTTGTACTACCACAATCTGACACATCATGCCTCTCTAGATAAGCTTCAAAAAGTCATGTGACTTAGTGGTTTTTGACGGTATTATATGCAGTTCAAGACCAAAACCGATAGGAACCAGGCTGCAGTTTCCTTTTACCAGCTAGTCTTGAAAAGCTATGAAAAGTATGAATTCTTCAATAACTACTCCACTGGAACGTATCTAATCAATTTTTAACATTAACTTCAGCTTTTATCCTTATAGTTTTTCCTGCTCATGCTTAGAATAACTAAATAAATTACGATAATGAGGACCATACATTTACGCATCACATAACATGGATGAAAATTTCTGTAACAGAAACAAAATTTGTAATTGATCACTAGTTCAGTTTCACAAAGTATTCATTAATGCATTCGACTGGTGAACGAGAGGCAATTCGTTTAGTTATTACCACAAACTAGTTACCTTGTAGTTCTAATCGTAATTGTTTTATTTTGTTTTGCTTTCAACAGTTTTTGTGAGAGTTTAAGAAACAATTTCAGAATATTATACATATTATTTATTATATAATGTGCCATAGATAGGTCACATACCACACCATTTTCAAGTGTCTCAACGGTAAGGGTTTGAGATGTGATTGTTAGGTACACATTTGCCATCGCCCATGTCATATCAGTAGATGGCCCAATAAAATGTCTTATTGACTTATCGACAAGTCGACTATTTGGTAGTTTTAAACCCACATCTTCGCATACGCGACGAATTGATGCTCTGAAAAAGAAACAGAACAGAATGTAATGGAAATTAGGCTACATAAACTTTTTATGAACCATTACTACTATCCTACAAACAATGCTTTCCCGTTTGATGTGAAGAGTATCAATTGTTTAGATTTTATTCCTAAGCACAATAACATTCCTAATGTCATCAACATCTATGATACATGGTATCGAAACATTTATACTATATCATTAAAGCCGATAATTAATTGCTCTAAGACTAGTCAGTTAGCGGTTAGTAATCAGCCATATGTACAGTTTACTGATCAATTAAGTTTTGAGGAGGGAAAACTCGACTCAACAACTTAATATTTTGCCATCCCCACTCCATATAGAGAGTAGAAGTTAGGTTGCTGAGTTCAACCACCACATAAAATATAAAGGGCTAGCCAACACCCGTCTTTTACCTACTTATTTTATCCTTACCACTGATACTGTACATCTGCACGGGTAACGTCTCCTTAGTTTTATGAACACTTATCGAGTCATGGTCTTGTTAAGATTTATTTCTTTCAACGTGTGGAAACGACTAGGTTTATATCTAACCTATAACATTGTGTATGGAGAGCTTTTTCCAGATTAGGTCTGTTGAAGTACCTAGGGTAAGTTGTCAAATCTACTGTGTTTCTTAGTCTGAAAATCTATGATGAAACGGTTAAGACAAATTTTTAAACTAAACCAATCTCCACGTGAGATACCAGCTAGTCACCAACTCAGTATGGACCTCAAAACCACTGATTTCGGGACGATCAATTATCTAACAGAAACCCACTTGTTGACTGATATAAACGCGCAGTCGTTTGAACAACTTACTACACTCCTTTGATATTTTTGTGCTTAATCTCTTCATCTGACTTTTAGTCCTTCAATTGTAATCGTTTAATATTTAATAGTAAACTGGAGATTTACTAAAATGATTCATTTTTCCTACATTTTGGGACTCTATGAACGGTAGTGATATAATTCAATCTGTCATTTGAAAAAACACAATAAAGTTATTTGATTTACGGGGCTGTAAATTACACTTGTATGAAGACTGAAGATACTATTCGGTCTCCCACGCTGATATAGGTGTAGAAGCATTCGAACTCCAGATTCAGATTACTAAGATAGAAGGCTCTTTTAGCCTAAATTAATCCGTAATCATTGGTTGGAATTTTCGGAGTTCAGCCAAATGACATAGAGCACAACCATAGTGTCCAGCATATTACTTCAACGAGGAATATTTTTCAAGTTCAAGTCGCTCTAACACGACTAAAAACTTCAAGGATTTCGACTTTAACTGATACAAATGAGTTAGTGAAAATTCTTTTGTTAAAGAATTATATTTCCATAGGAAGAACAAATCATACCACTGGGTGGAACATCATGTGGTTTCCGAGAGTGTTCAAATTGGTGACTCTATGATACATACTGCTATTACAATTAATTGCCGTTTTATAACCACCAAAGAAAACCCGAGTTTACTCCTCACTAACGATAAGTTCGTTTAATGGTTTCAAATCAGAACACACAACATCAAGATGGTTTCTCGAACTACCATGTGACCAGAACCGTTTCTCATAAATGCCAATCCCCATTTCATATTGTATATGCAGTAAAAGTGTGAAAATCTCCAATAAAATATCTATAGATTTAACTGAAATTTTATGCAGTCATTTTACACTCAATCTGGTGAACTACTTGTTTATTCCATTTATTTTCCGGCGCCACTTAGGTCAATAGGAAATTTAAATTCATCCGATTTTTAAAAAAATATGCAAATGAATGTGCATGTTATAATATATATTCACAGAATATGCCGTGATGTTCCAAAGAGTTTGGATGCACACACTGGACACAAAAACACTGATACCACGAAATAAGACAAGAAACCACTGTCAAACATGAAAAAAGGGACCGTCATTTTATATCCGTAAATAACGATGTACCGACAAATCCGAGTTCTGGTATTTAGATCAACAGATTTTATTGATGTAAGTACTGGAATGGAGCCAACATAACGAAGTTCGTATGTAACACCAGCATCAGGAGCCAGCTGAGAATTATGGTGAAGCCAGTGTTGCGATTTTAATGGCCCAGCTGACATGTCATATAAAGTCGCCTCCAGACATCACCAATGAAACGACCGCCAAACGCAGCCATTAAATTTACCGCTAATATCCAAAGCATTCTGTTGTTCAATATTTATTCAGAGAAGAAGTACAAGCCAATTTGATGTTTTTCGCCCCGTTTTGATGATGACATAATGTTTCTTGATGTTGAGATGGTTTCTACGTGGATTTGTTCCCACTAGGAAGTGTAAAAATATGAAGCCAGTGGTTGTATGTGAATTCAGTTCTTATTTAAGTCAAGCTTTGTAGCATGTAAAAACTGTTTCGTTGCTGTTACTACAGTTAGTTCTTCAACCGTCCCGTCACCCATTGTGGTGAGAAAGTGAGGCATTGATAATATGTCAATAATAACAAATGTATCATTGATAAAATTCTATTTGTAGCTTATATAAGAATAAATGAGTGAAAGAGCGGAATGAGCGAAAAAGTGAGGCAAAGAAGATTGTGTGGGTGTCGGTAGATTCAAACAGTCGGCTTTATTCGAAAGCTTGATTATGCTTCGCAGTAGTGGTGGGTTACATCTCACTTTGCTGGAGTTAACAGAGGACTGCATGAAATCCGAATTAACTCTCCAGCTTCCGAAAGCGTTTGCTGATGGCCTAGTAGTCCGAACTGCTATTAAAGCATTTCACTAGCTGCAGACTCTAAATGAAAAGAAGTGAAACGCACCCGATGCCTTGTGCTAACTGTGCATTCGCAGACTCTGACGAGAGATTCATGATTACCTGATGTTTAGGATTTAGGTAGTTCTAGTAATCTGCAATGATAGGTGATCCATATTTTAGACGCCTGTCCGGGGATGAAAAGGAGAATATTGCACCAGTTGTGAAGACTACATCTGAGGTTGCTGATGTTTTGGAATATGCTGAAGAGAATTTCAATAAAATTTTGACGAGCACAGATCTGTATAATTTACGTAAGGATGTGAGACCAGGTAATTGAAGTAGTTTAAAGTTATTTTTGAAGCCATGCCTTCGAGATCAGATGTTATGCGCATAATAAGGCAAAGCGGTCAGGTGGTTGAATACGTGGATTCGAATACAGGGATAACCAGCAGAATTTGCTTCACCCTGGAATCACAGCTGCAGTTATATCGGAAATATGGAGCGGTGGTGTGTATTAACTCAACATACAATATCAATAAGGACGGGTAGGTTATACGTGAAACGGTTGACAAATCTTAATCAGATATTCTCTGTTTCAGTTGGTGGTAACAGACAATATGGGTCATGGCAGGCCTGTTTTTTGGCATGTACGAGACGAGAGAGGTCATGTGATGTAGCTTGGATATTGGAACAATTCCAAAGAATAATGCAGGATACGTCCATTACAGAAACTTTCGTAATGGATTCGGCCAAATGTGAGATATCCGCCGTGCGTAATAGTCACATTCAGGCGGAAATCGTCATCTGTGCATTTCATGTATGCCGGGCTTTCAGCAGGAAGGTGAGGTGAATGTAATTAGTACTTGATGCATTTAGACTCGAAATCCTTTTGTACGCAGGTTTTTTTATCGTCTTGTTAAAGCTGCGACACCTGAAAGGTAAATGCATTGATTTCTAACCATTTAGATGTCATCAATACCTTAGTGTCATTAGGACGGTTGATCGGAGGGTGCGGAATTATGTCAGGCGTTACTGGGTGCCTAAGAAGGAGACGTGAGCTGCGGCATATATGCCGAATACTCTGTTGCTGTTCAATAGTACCAACAATAGAGTTGAAAGCTGTCACAGTCACCTAAAACGATATCTCCACAGAAGAGATCCTCTACACGTATGTATGTACAAGACGTATAAATGGTGTGTACGCACAGAGAAGCGTCGGAGTGTTGAAGTCATCGTCGAAAGTTGTCGGATTCATAAGTACCACGCACCAGAACCAGTTATGCCGATATTAGGAAACTTCACTCCTTATGCCGCTAAGTTAATTGCCAAGGACTATAGCCGTAATCGTCGGATGAGCATAGAGTTGTATACTGATGATATGGTTATCATAAATAACGGCATATACCTGCACCAAGTGAATTATACCAATTCAACTTGTACCTGCAGAATTTTTAGGGCACATGAAATACCTTGCCGGCATATGCTGCTATATCACACTCAAATTCCTCAGTTTACAGGTAAATCAAACTCTTACTAATATTTAAATTAATATTTTTAGTTGACAAAGTAATTCGCCTGTGTCGCAGATGGTTTTGGCAGGATCCGTTGCTACCAAGTAGTGTGCCATGTGAAGGTTCAGTGAAGAAACCCTGCAGGGAGATACTGCAACTTCGCATGCAATTGAACAGAAGCTTCGCAGTTATGCGGGATAATTATAGTAATGAATACACTATTAGTGCACTGCGAGCAACTCTGAATTACTTCGAAAATTTTCTTGTCTAATAATGGAAGATGTGCATACATTTTGTGTCAATAAATGCAAATATACCCTAACTTCTAAACTGCATACGCCTTATGTTTTACCGTTTCATGTGACAAAAGTATAATAGTCATTTGCGAATATAGTAGAAAGCATTTTATAGAGAGCAGGTAGAAGTGAGTACTAGGCGGAATCTTCAGTACTTAGTATGAGAAGTAAGGTAAACTTTTTTTCTTGTAAGTACGCAATGAAAAGATAATGACGAGTTTTTGTAATTAGCATTGTATTTACTATGTAGGTAATGTTATTACAGGCATACGTTGCTATAACGTGTCTAGTCTTGGGTATCGCTGCATCAGTAGCACCAATTGTAGCGTTTTCCAGTCAGTAAAATTTCGACGTTTTGTACGACAAACTTCGCGGAAGGTAGATGAATTTAAAGGCTGCTTCCAGACGATGCGTACAACGGCATCTTAGGCAACGTCTACAAAGACAAAAATAAGATAATTAGAAGACACGTTAAAGTGCACAGGTAAATAAGTCAAGTACTGTTTTGGAATAAGGGAGATTACTAGTATTCTTACGAGGTCTTCAACTCATTTTATTTCTTTCGACTGCTACCATTTCTTGCATCAGCGTTACTTACTTATAGTTCACTGTTACTTCTTCGTTGCACCCTATTTACAGAGTGCAAGCAAATGAGAAAATTAGTGCAATACTTAGGATACGGCAATAATAAGGGTATAAGCAGATCAACACTGCAGCGATGTGCAACAGTAATAATAATTCACTTTGTCTGAAAACAGTATTAATGTTACAGTGTTGAATTTGCAGCATCTCGTACATCATTGTATCTAATTTTATGAAGTAATATTCGAAACAGTTGTAAGGATTACATTACAGAAATCGACAAGATATAGAGTTACCAAGAAAGACCAGAGGATACAACAACTCCAAGGTATTTCATGTTAGACTTAGTTTATGTTTCAGTGCCCTCTTTGACACAAGCATCTTGTGAACGATACAGCTTCAATCATATACATAAGTGTTTTAGTTAAGCGTACTACAGGTTTAAAAAAATCACCCATCTCATTCACTTCTATTTACACTAACTATTATGTCCGTGTTACTGGCTTCTGGTTAATGTTTTCTTCAGTGCACTTTATCTGGACAATTTAAGGAATTGGGAAATGCATGGAGTACTTAAGAAACGGCATTCATAATTGTTTGAGCCAATTAACACTGTAGTGAGTTGTGACACTACGCATCTGCAGTGACAAAGCTGACCGACTGAGTTTTAACATGGAACTCAGTAGAGAAGTGCAGCAGTTCGATTTGTTACATTCCACACTTGAAAAATATTATATTTAGTTGGTAATAAGCAAAACATATTTCCTCACATGTGTTTCCCCTTCGCATACACTAAGTTGACAAGACTGTTCCCTGGTAAGTCCCTGAAGTGAGTGACAGACAATTCTGTTAATACATGTATGATGAAAGTGAACTAAAATAAGGATGACAGTTGTAGAAATGAGCCTTGTATTATATCCTTCTTGGAAATATCTGTTCCCTCATAGTTTAGTTTCAGTATTAAGTGAATGGAATGCAATCTACAGATTCATGAAATTCACATACTGACGTACTACTTTTCTCGATTCATAGTTAATGTCTCCTCAGTAAAGTGATAAATGGGCACTGTACTTGTGTAAACTCAATAGGCTGTGAACCGCTGCCAATGAAAACGACAGAAATTCTTGGAATTATCAGTTATAATTTTAGCTGGATCACATGCAACCCTCAGCAGTTGTTAAATGGTCACTTCATGAACATCGAATCCATACAGAAAGCGCAGACGATTTAGTACAACATGCACACTCCTGATTTCACCGTGAAGCATGCACGGCAAATGCATTACTTTAGGGGCCTACACAGTTCACAAATTAACTCACAACACTGGAGTGGAAAATTTATATTTGTCCTTACTTAGGTTAATATAGCGATTCTTGTGAAGTAACTTTCATATGCAGAAGAGAAGAGCAAGGTATTCATAATCTTTTGCTACATGTGGAATCACAGTGCAACTCTATGCGCAATAGTATATATACGAATAAACTGAAAAATAAAGTCCTCCTGGTGACACATTGTGACATGACAGGAAGTGAGACGGTCAGATCACCAGCGTATTTCACGAAGTTGATCTCATTAGAAAGATGAAAGTCATGTAAGACAAGAGAGAGAAAAAAGAAAAGGAGAGATAACAGTACCCTGAGTAACACCAGCTTCAGCAAGCAAGGCGGAAGATTTACCTTAATATACAGTATGCTGCATTCCATTTGGGAAATGATAATGCAACCAATCACCTGCACAGGACTCGTGTTTGCACGAACGAAACCTTACTCAACTAATGTCATCTAGGTCCTTAGTCAACAACGGCATATGCTGAATGACTGAAAGCTTAGCACAAAAGTGATAAAGCACAAAAAACACTTGCAAAGTAGGAGACGAATCCCGGGTGGAAGAAGAGATTACTGAAAGGTATCTATTTGTCAGTTAACAAAGAACAAGATTAAGAACTGCAATTATCATTTGTTGACATTCTGGAGATCATTATTATTCAGTGTTTCGCATTTAGTTATGCCTAGCCTGTGTCATTCTGCCTGGCTTTCAGTATG